TGTGTGTGTGTGTGTGTGTGTGTGTGTGTGTGTGTGTGTGTGTGTGTTACCTGCTTCACCTGGCTCTGCAGGTGTCTCAGCTGTAGGTTCTGCTCCAGGTGTGTGTGTGTGATCCGCAATCTGCTGCAGCTCCTTCTGTTTGTCCTGCAGGAGGCGCTGCAGCTCCTCCACCTGAGCGGAGAGACCCCCCTCCGCCTCCGCCAGCTCAATACCTGACACACATACACACACACACGCACGAGCTTCAGAGTGAGGACATTTTGGCTGGTAAGGTCCTCACAAGCACAGTAATAAAACTGTGTGTGTGTGTGTGTGTGTGTGTGTGTGTGTGCAAATCAAATACGCTGGTTTCCATGGGGACCAGCTGTGTGCTTCAGAGAGCAGTTTCCATGGCAACCCTATCCCCCCCTTTTTCCCCCTCTCCCCCTTCAGTGTGTTACTGAACCGGTCAGACTGGATGTGATTGTGAACTGACGTTTGAGTCCTTCAAAGACCTGGAACCCCCTCAAGAAGAACCCCCTGAAGCACCTCAAGGACCACATGACCCCCTTTAAAGAATCCCTCCGACTCTAGAACCGCCTCAAGGACCACGAGCGTGTGGACATCCTAAAAACACCTTTCAAAGGAGGCACAAGAAACCCCCCAAAGATCCCCAGAGTCCACAAAAATAACTACTCACTAAACATGACCTAGTTACCAGTGGAAGACCTGGGACCTCCTCAAGGACCACTGGAGACCTCTAACAAGAATATTGCCTCGTTAAGGAGCACTAAAACCAACCAAGAACCTCTAGAACCCACGAAAAGGCTCCTGAAAGTCCCTCAAGGTTTTCCTTTGAGGGAATCCCCCCATAAGGGACCTACAGAACCCCCTCAAGAACCTCTGAACACCTCCAGGGAGCAAATAACTTTAGGACCCCTGAAGCTTCCTCAAGGACCAGTGGAACTCCTTAAAGGACCTCTAGAACACCCTCAAGAATTCCCAGAGGGAGCACTAGAAACCACTTAACGACCCCTGGAACCCATAAAAAGATGACTAGATCGCTGGAACCCTGTCAGCGACTGATAGAATTCCCGCCAAGGACCATTTGGGCCCTCCGAGGGACTTCTATGACAATCATTGACCACTGGAGCACTGTCAAGAGTCTACCAAGGTCTATTGAAAGCCTTTCAGAACCATTGAACCCCTCCAAGTGACTATTCCTCAAGAACCTCTGGAACCCCTTAAAGGACTCACCTCATGAAGAACCACAGCTGTATCGGGCACCATTAGAACCCCTTTCAAGAGCACTAGAAACCACTCAAGAACCTCTGGAACCACTCCTGGAAGCCCCTCAAGGACCAGATCCTTTCTTGATTGTGTCTTGTGGTGTACCCCAAGGCTCAATACTGGATCCCTTTCTTTTGTCCATCCATATTAGCTGCCGTTAAGTTCTTTCATTCAAAAACATGGCGGATGTGTCCGTGGATGTGCTGCTGCACTAACAGGGGGGTCTTACCTGAGGCCTGAACCTCGGTGATGTACTGCTGGAGATCGTGGCCTTGCTGGATGACCTCATAGATCATGTTGTTCATAGCCAGCCTCCGTTCCATGTGCCTGCAGATCAATAAATCAAGTCAATGCCTGACATGCTTTTATTTTGGCGAGTCAGGAGGACGTCATCACGCCATCTCATCTACCTGTGGATGCGCTGCTGCGCCAGCGTTAGCACCTCCGGGCTAGCCTCCACCAGCCGCGACTGGCCCAACGTTAGCTTGTCCTGGTTGGCGTCGGCTAGCCGCGACGACGCTAGCTTCTCTGCGGAGAAGTCCTGGGTCTGTTTCTGGAGGTCTTGCTTCCAGGCGTCCATTTCCCCCGTTACCTAGAAACACACACTAAAGGTGGGCGACCTAGACCCGGTGGTGGGAGGTGACAACATATTGATTATCAACAACCGTTGTTACCTCCAGAGTGCACTGCTGCAGGATGCGGAGCTGCAGGTTGACGTCCAGTCGGATCTTCCTCTGGTGGAAAAGTTCCTCCAGCTGAACGTGAGACTCCTCCAGCTGCTGAAGCACTGTCTCCACCTGGGCCACCGAGCTGCCCTGAGGCCTGAAACAAACACACCTCAAATGGTTAAAGACAACCAGAGAAGAAACCCAACCACATAGACTTTGTGAACTAGAAAACAGACGCACCCACGCAGGCTTTATGAAGTAGAAAACAAACGCACCCATAGACTTTACACAAACTAGAAAACAAGCGCTTCCAAACTATAAGAAAAAACACCCACACACATTACACAAACTAAAAAATAAAAGCACCAACACACTCTACATGAAATAGAAAACAAACATACCCATACACTCAAACTACAAAATAAAAGCACCAACACAAACTACAAAATAAAAGCACAAACTACAAAATAAAAGCACCCCCACTGAATACACTCATCACGTGTGCCACAGAGCCCCCTAGAGGCCTAAAACAAACACACCTACAGTAGTTAGATACACCAGCTCCACTCTGAGCTACCCCGACGAGTGAATCAAACGCACCCACACACTCTGTGTGTACCTGAGTTGCAGGATGAGGTCTTCTCCTTCCCGGATGACACTCATCGCTGCTTCCTGTAGGTCAGGGTTAGATTTGGGGTTAGTGTGAGGGGTCAGAGGTCGGTATTAGGTTGTTACGACATGGGTCAGGGGTGAGAGGTCAGAGGTCAGGTGACCCTCACCTGTGTGTTGGCCTGTTGCTGCTGCTGCTGACTCATCAGAGCCTGAAGAGACTCAACGGTGTCGGGACAAACACAGAGATCAGACGACAGCTGCTTCTGGAGGCCCTCCATCCATACCGAGAGCTGGGGAGGAGGAGAGGAGGGGGGGAGAGGAGAGGAGGAGGAAGAAGAGGAGATACTGTCAGATATCGAAACAGATCCTGAACTTTTTTTTGACAAATTCTACTTTGTAATTCCAGATTGTTGAGGAGGAAAGGAAGTAGGATGGTGAAATGAGGAAAGGAGGTAGTGGGCAGGAGGAGGTGGTGGGAGGAGAGGAGAAAAGAAAGATATATACATATTTATATATATATATACTTGAGTGTATTACCTCCTTGGTGTGTGTGTAGAAAGACACAGCGAGGTCCAGCAGCAGCTTCCTCTGTTCAACTCTCTGGATGAACGCCTGCACACACACACACACACATTATGCAAACACTTCCTGTAGCTGCCTTTCACAATAAAAGCCTTTGCTTTTTTCTTTCACCTGCATGCGGAGCTCCAGGTCTCTGGCTGCCTGGTAGATCTCCTCCTCCTCACACTCTCCAGACTGAGCCAGCTGATCGGCTGCTTCCAGAAGCTTCTCTGCATTAGTGTAAGTGTTCTGACACACACACACACACATGTATTTATTAATTTTATTTGTATGACCATGTGGGGGCTAAGTGTGGTTCAATTAATCCAGGTCTAAGTGTGGGTCAGTTAATCCAGGTCTAAGTGTGGTTCAGTTAATCCAGGTCTAAGTGTGGTTCAGTTAATCCAGGTCTAAGTGTGGTTCAGTTAATCCAGGTCTAAGTGTGGTTCAATTAATCCAGGTCTAAGTGTGGTTCAATTAATCCAGGTCTAAGTGTGGTTCAATTAATCCAGGTCTAAATGTGGTTCAATTAATCCAGGTCTAAGTGTGGTTCAGTTAATGCAGGTCTAAGTGATGTTTACCTGTGCGACCTGCTGGAAGTCGTCGTGGCGTTTCTGCAGCGCTCTCGCTCGGTGCAGAGACTTCCCCACGCCGCTGTGTTTGTTCAGGAAAACCTCACCGTGCTGCTCAACCCAGTCCAACACCTAAGAGACAGACAGGTAGAGAGAGAGACAGACAGGTGGGAGGGGGGGGGGATGACAGGTGAATTTGTGGGACAGATTCTGAAAAGTAAATCTGGGTTTGGATCCTGACTGGATCTGGATTGTACCTGTCTGACATCCTGTTGAAACACACACAACTGCAGGCGCTGGTGGAGGCGGAGCTTACGATGCTGCCACGCCCCCTCCACCTCATGGTGACCCTGCAAATAATAAAAAACTTCACGTCAGTCCACCTGTCTGTCTGTTGGTCACATGTGAGACGTGTTACCGTGACCCATACCTGCATGACCTGGTGCAGAACTCCCATGATGCCGTGCGTGGCATTGGTGAAGTCCGGTTTGGTCGCAGCGTTGTCTGAGTCGGTCGCTGGGCAACGCTGGAGAACGTCCATTAAGGCTTTACCGCTCTCACTGACCTGCAGACAGACAGAGAGAGAGAGACAGGTTTTCAGACTTTCAGATAGATAGATGTCTGGACAGACAGACAGGTATGTGGACAGACAGACAGGTACCTGTGTGTAGTTAGCAGAGATCTCCTCGTTCACTTCCTGGTGTTTCTTCGTCGCAGCGTCCAGCTCTGCTGTCGCTGACGGAAACGGCCCTTCAGAGCACACCTGAACCCAGCTCTCCACTCTGAGCAGGAACTAGACAGACAGGTAGAGAGGCAAACGGGTAGAGAGGCAGACAGGCAGACGGGTAGAGAGGCAGACGGGTAGAGAGGCAGACGGGTAG